TTTTTTTTTCGGTGTTAATCTTTCTTGCTCTTTCTGTGTTGCTTTCTCCAGAGATGTAATTTATCTAATTGATCAAATTTGTAGGAAGCAACAACATCAGCAACAACAATTGGAGAGAGGAGAGTATTCCACATGCTCAAGTCCGTCTGGGCTTGATTCCAGGGAGCCATTTGATTTCCATCTCGGTAAGTAAAACAAGGCAACCGCAAAGACTGGCCCTTTTTTTTATCTCAAATTGCAGTAATTTTTGGTGAATCGTTATTTTGATTTTACCTTAGGAGCAAGAATGTTGTACAACAATACTCAAGAGATGCTGTTGAGAAGGAAATTGGAAGAGCAGGCTGATTTGCAGCAAGCCATCGAGCTTCAAGGAAGAAGGTTAATAAATTTGCAGCTGCTGGACTTCAAGAATCATAATCATCCTCAGTACCATCATGGTCTGTCCACTGGCTACCCTATTCCTTCACCGACTGTATCTCATACTCTCAACACTCAAGCACTCATTTTTCCAGCTGATAGCATTGATCAAGAAGTCCCAGAAGGTTAACACCATTATAAACTGTTTAATATTGGCTTTGATTTGTTCACCATTTGAGCAAATTTCTTTGGAGTTCTATATATCAATTTGCTTTTACGTTATTGCTGTAGAGAATGGCGGTAGCCCAGTCGCAGTTATTTCCAAATTGACTACTGCAAATGCCGATAAACAGCTGGAGGAAGTGAATCCAGGTTGTAATCACATGGATGAGAATGATACGAGTAATAGTAAGGAGGAGAAGGCCAACACTGAAGAAACTGATCTCCCTGAAAGGTATAAAACTCGATTTTCAAATGTAGAATGGTAATGGAAAACAGAATGTTCAGGTCCTGGTTGTGAAATTCTGCTGCTTTATGCTAGCTTTTGAATGAATGTTTACACGTTTTAATTAATTGTTGGCATAATTTAAGGCCTGTTCTCATGTGAGCAGCTTGGAGCACATTCTCCCTGATAACCTGTTCGCTTCTCCTAAGAAATCAGCTGGTGATCACCTCACTGTCTTCTCTGCCAATTCCGTAGAGGCTGACAACAAAACCACAAGTCCAACTACATCTTGCTCTAACAGTAACCCTTCACTGGCCAACACCTCCAGCCTCAATATGGCTTCTCTTAAATCTTGTTTTCTACAAATGCCCAGGTATTATTACCACTTATCATTGCCACAGCTTTTAAAAAACATTCTTTTTATCCAAAGACAAGGAAAGTTAATTATTGTGATTAATTTTGCTATAAAGGTTTTCCTCTGGGCATGAAACCATTGGCATGTAGTTGGCAAAGGTGAGCATGGCCAGCAAAGGGGGAAATTGACTTTCCCAGGGTAAGAGACTAATATCAAGCTTTTTTTTATGAGCACATGCATACAGCTTGTTGAAAATTCTGGTCAAATATGATCATTTTATAATGTTGAACTGTTTTGTTCTATTTTTGCAGAAACATTGGGGAGCATATTATACAAGGAAGATTATAAAAAAAAAATCCTCTAGCTGTATAGCCAAAACAATACCCACAACAAAGAAAAAGATCTGTAGACAAGATCTCAGCAAGATCAGCATCATCATCAATACATACTACTTACAATGAATACATAATGTATAGGCAAAGGACAGAGGAACTGATTTATGGGAGTGGGGTCTTTCTGTTTCCCTACTGTGACCCTTCCTGTAGGTGAGTGTACTGGACCACACAGTAATAGTGGAAGAAACAAAAGCTAGTAACTCTTTAATGATATTGTAATTTTACTACTTCCCTTCTGTTTTTCTTTTCTACTCTTTTTACCCTCCTTTTTCCAAGTGAGGTGAAAAAAGGAACTACAAATAAATGAAATCTGTATGAAGGATATAGTTCCATGTCACTATGTGTACAGAAGTAGAGACCCCCAGAAAGTTTTAAAAGTACTGTAGCCGAAGCATAACTACTCTACTGATATGGAGACCCAAAAAGGGTAAGGAGTGCAAGGGTTGAAGTGGAGGGTAAAGCTGTGACTCTGGCACTTTTTTTAATTTTTTATTGTTGTTTTCATGTTAGTACTACAGTATCTGTCAACCATTAGATTATGAAACAGGCAGAACAGGAGAAAAGGTGTTTGTGGGAAATATATATATAATCAAAAAAAAAAAAACATGAGGCAAAGAAAAGGTTGTTCTTTCATGTGATTAAAGGTTACTTTAGGGGACTCTTTTGTCTCATTTCGTGGTTTCTTTTAGGTGGACATGAATGGGTAAGGGCCACACTGTCACATGGGTTCTGACAATTTATATGAATGGTATCTGGGTACCACTCACTCCTTTCACTTTCAGTCTTTTAACCTCATTCAGATTTTTAAATGTTATTATATATTTTGATTCTGAATTTTGTGTTTTATGGGTGATGGTGCCCTTATGTTTTTGGCATAATCTTAAATCATGTTGGGTCTACATGCGCTCTTAAGTTTTAAATGCTGTGCTGCCTACACTCCCAACTCTATTTCAAATTGCTCCCCTACCACATAGATGTGCATGTTGGTCTGTTAAAGTGGCTTTGTTGGTTGTTGCTATGATTAATCAGTTCTAATTTAGTACTATCTAACTCCAATTATTATCTGTTTTTTAAATCTTTTTTTTTTTATGAAACTTCGCTTTTGGTTTGGGTGAATATCTATAATTAGCAGATTATGTTTTTAATCTTTTGTGCAACATGTAGAGATGCTCAAGGATGGCTAAGGAATTTCTCTGGTTTAAGTAGGCATTCATCAGTGGTGGAGTTATAATGTCAGCATGGGTTTTCCCCAATCTTGATGCCAAATAGCTGGCCAAGGCCAACTTTAGTCCAAAGAAAATTTAACATATTGGTGTGCCTAACTTGGTTTATTAACTTTAAATTATAAAGTCAAAATGATGAACATATTTGCCAATGTACAAAGGTGGAAATTTGAGAGGGAGGTTTAGTGATATTTTAGGTCCTGTATAAGTGTGACAGCCTCCCTTTTGTTTCCAGCTGAGTAGTCTCATTGTTGTCACCCTGTCATAATCAGAAAGAATATAGACATTTGACATTTGACATTGATACAGCCAAGCAATTATATCCTCTGGATGCTTTGTAATTTAGGTGATTAGGACTGAGGAGCAAAGTGGCAATGCATCATTCAATCATGCTTTACTTCATATATATTTTGATAGTGCTCCTCAAATATTGCAGTGATTATTACTGCTCTGTAACTGGGCAAATCAAGTGGGAAATGGGTTTCCATGATTTCTTCCAAAGGGGCCATCATATTTTTCTACTTAATTAAGCCATGATTTCAGCTCCTTTTTTTTGTTATTTAAATTTTTTTATGATAGGGGCCCCCACTCAATGATTAGATGAGTTGTGGTTTTCTTTTATTAGGTGAAAAAGGATCAAAGCTAAAGGGAAAGTGAATGTATGATTAATAAAGGAAAATGGCATACACTTGAGGCTTTTATATAATCTTAAAAGAGAGAGAATATAAAGAAATGAGGGCAAAGGCAACACAGCAGATGTAATTTTGGACTTTTGGGCAAAGGCTTTCAATCATGTTAGGTCACTCTCCTTTTCATTTTTATGTTTGAATGTAGATTAGTGACAAGTGAAATTAAAGTTTATTTAACTTTTTATTGATGTGAGATATTAAGGTTGAAATAAACTAGAATCAATGTCGTTTTTTTTTTTGTAGTGAAGTGAAAGAGCTAATAAATATCATACAATTAGGTGAGATAGAATATTACAAATCATACTTTCAATAATAAATGAAATCGATCTTACAATAATAGATGAAATCGATCTTGCGATTATAAGTAAAGAATTTTTTTGACTTTATAGATATGTGTCTAGGATTAAAAATGTGAGCTCTGACAATATGATTTTATAAATTTGGTAGGAAAATTAAAAAGAAAAAATAAAATATGAGAAACCCTCCTTCAATTTGTTCATTTTGGGCCTCTTAGTTCATAGCTTAATTGCCTTAGGTTTGTTTGGGCAAACCTCACCTCTTCACAACAAAAGGATCCTAGACAAAGCCCAATTATGCAAGCCTATAAGGTCTAATTAATGAATGCTTATAAGCACTAATTAAAAGTCCTTTAAATTATTATTTAATATATTATTTTTTTTATTCATGAAGCCACAATGCATTAATCACATAATTATTTTTATAAATAAAGAAATGTTGTTACCAACTATTTACGGATATTTATTACAATTAGTTTTATAATTATTGAATTTGGTGTAAATAATAATTAAATGGGTGTTTATAATCACCCGTTAAAAATAATTAAAATATTATTTTTAAAAATTACAATTAATGGACTAGTTTTATTAAATTAAAAAAATTAATCTATTAATTATACATTTTTTTCCTCAAAAAAAAATCATCCTTATCATCATTAATCAGCCAACATTTCCCCCATATATATATATACAAATATATATAATTGACAACTGACAAGGACCGTAGAGAAATAATTACACATAGTGAATTACTTTGATTAAAAATATTAAAAATAATTGAAACCTCCACATTGTTCAAAGAGAAAGTGATTGGAGCAACTTTGACCCAATCTTGAATGTGACTGAATTTTTCTGAAACTGTCCTTTCCAAGTCGTGGCCCCACACCCAGAAACCAAAATCTCTACCCTTCAATCCCAAATTCACCAATCACAGTAAAAAAAAAATCATATCCAGCAGACGGTGGAGATATCTTCTCATGAAAGAGAAGAAAACGTACTGACACAGAAATCATTGAGGCAACTGAATTTTTAATTTGCATCAAAATCTTGAAAAGATTACATCACGAAACAGTAAGAGAAAGTCAGCAGCGAAGTAAAATAAAATGCAAGAGAGAAAAAGAAGGAAGGAAGCAACGTGCACTATTATAAAAGCTAACAGTACTTATAGATTTTAGAATATTTACTACTGAATGTGGTAGCCATCAGAATTTTGGTGATTCCCATTTTCAATTGGGTGGACCAATATTTTTTTACTGCCCTATTTTACTCTTTTCAGGTAAACTTCAAAAAATCACCTCAAAAAGTGAACTTTTATATGCTAAATGCTATGCTACTCAGATATAGTAAATGAAAATGCACGAGCATAGATAGGGTTATTTTTTAAAAAAATTGAAAGAAGAGAATTTGAATTTGATATTTTAAATAAAAAATTATAAATTAATTAATAAATTAAATATTCAGATATATGAATAGGATTAAGTTTGTTGCTAAATACGATAGATTTGCTAATAAGAAGAGAAGAAATCTACAGCATTTTGCATTCAGTTCGAGGAAATTTTTTTCTTTTTGAGTGTTAATATTAATGCTAATTTCATTTTCATGTTAAATTTGGATTAATTAAGATTGATTTAGGATAATCAAGCAGCTACATATTTAATTTTTTTTCCCTTAGAAAAGTGAGTAGCACTATTGTTTTTGCACCAAAAAGTAAGTAAAAGCATTTAATTTTGCATAAGTTTGTTGTTTTGGCCAACTGATTTTGTAAAAGCGTGTGCTAAGTTATAGACTCATCTATTTTCAATAAAGTTACTAAATTTGGATCAATCCAACAATTAGATCCATAGATTGGGTGATCCTAGTCTTAATTTAGGTTGATTTGAAAAAATTCCTATAGATCAATGAGTTTATGACAAAAATCAATAGCTCAGAGAGTTTTTTATTAACTTAGGTCATTAAATATAAATTTTAAAAAATGATTTTAAAGTCACACTTAATTTGACTTTTACATAATAATAATTATTTTTTTAAAAAAACTACATAAATATACTGTAAACTCAAATACATTGAGTAATCTAAGTGGCGGGTGAATTCAATTTTCATGATGTAAACTTCAAAATACACTGAGTTATATGAAGTTAATGACAACCAATCAATGAATTTAATGCGATAATAATAAAGAGAATAGGGTTGAGAAATTCGCAAATGTGATTTGTGGAAGTTAGACCCTTCGTCTTGGCGTTTACCACATTTTTCTTTGTTTGTTAAGGAGTTCAAATCCACTATTTGATTCACCAATACAAGTACTTTCTCTAAGTTGTTGTATATCTCACTATCTTTTAAAAGCTCATATAAAATTTTTTACATGACTTTTTTAAGGTTCAAGATAGAACCTCTCTTATTTTTAGAAATTGGTTATTAAACAAGCAAAGAGAACCTCTAAAAGGTCGATATTGCTAGTGAATAAAAGACAATATCAAGATAATTACAAATAAAAAACTTGAAAACTTTTCAATTTGCCCAAATGAAACCACAATGAATATGATGTGAGAATTGTACATGTGGTGCCTTGTTGCATAAATCCCATGAAATAGCCCATAGTTCTTTGCCAAGTATTGACTAAATTTTACTTGGATCACTAACCCTCGACCATTTCTGATTAAATTCAAAGAACGTCAAGAAACTCATCTACTTCATAATCCAACGATTTTCATGTTTGATTGTGGAAAGAAAGGAGATTAAATAAGTTTTGCGCCTAGCTCAAGTTTTTTATAGGTTGTACGAGTTGTGTTATAGAAGGATGTTTTCATCTTTTAGGGCATGTTTCCATTCTCCCCTTATTCTTATTATCAATTTATGTAACACTTTGATTCAATGGAATGGCCATTACATGAGGGGCTGAATTTCCCCTCAGTAATGACTAATTCAAGCATGTGGGAATGAGAAAAAAATTTGATTAAACCAAAGTGTCCTTGAACAATTTTCAAAAATTACTACTATATAATATAAAATTTTTTCATTTTCACAATTTCTTTTTTTTCTCTACTCATCTTCTACCTCTCTTCTTCTTTTTCTAAATCCCCTCCACTATCAAAAGGTCGCAGAGGGTGGCAGTGGTGGCGACATCGCTGCTAGGTGCGGGAAGTGCTAATTTGGTACTTTAGCAATCAAATCCGATCACAGTGAATGCTAGATTAATGCTCCATTATGTTGGCCAAATATTCGATGGTCGATCAATAGAGAAAAAAAAATTAAAAAATTAAAAAATATAAAAAATAATAAAATTTAAAACTTTAATTATATATTATCAATACTTTAATATTTTAAAAATAAAGATAAAAATAATCATATTAATATAAATTATTAATATTATAAATAAATTATAAGTAATTTATAAAATTAGGTAAACAATCATATTCAAGTTTTAAATAAAAATTTATTAACATTTTTAACAAATTATAAAAAGTAAATATTTGAATTATAAATCATATATCATAATAAAAGATATTTTTATCTTTTTATTACATTTTTTTTGTTATTTCAAAGTTATTTTTTACCACTAAACATTGAAATAAATCATAATAGAAATTGCTATTGTATTTTATTCTGTAAATTAAACTACATAATAACTATTTTTATTATATTTTATTATCGCAACATGATCATTTTATTTTCTTTTTATTCTATTTTACGAACCAAGCATACTTTTAAGATATTAAAACATCCAACCCTACACTACGAAATGAATGCACATGCCATTAGTTGTTAAAATTTGAACCTAAGGAGCATTTTTACTTAACCTCAAACCATTTGGTATATTTATGCAATTTGTTCTTTTAAAAAAAATTCATTAGACAAAACGAAATGGTAAAAACTATTTTTGTGCAAAACTTTTCTTGTTGTAATTTTTTTCAAAAATAATGAATATTTTTAATTCTTATATCATAAATTATTGTTTATACAAATATTAAGATTATTTTACAGAATTTATATTATTAAACTAACATTGATCAGAATAATTGAACCATTGAAATCATTGATCCATTGATACAAAATCTTGAATGGGTCATCATTCAATCCGGTTTTGAATTTAAATATTGTTATTTTATCGATTTAATCAAATTAAAACAAAATTTGTCATAAATAAAGGGGCGAAGAACGTAAAATTTTCTTTCTCAATAGAGGCCATGAGTAAGGTAATTTATTCAACCTATTTTATGCTTGCATTGGATTTACTTGTTTTCTGCCTAAAAATATGCAAGTTTTTGCATAAATTGCTAAAATGTTACTTATTATCATTGAAATTTGTTCACAATTAGCTAATAAATGGAAAAATAATAATTACTAGTATAATCTATCCATCATGTAGAAAAAAGGAAATTTCTACTATTGTTAGGAAAAACACATTTTTTTATAAGAAAAATATAATGAAAAATTTAATAATTGTTAAATTCACAAAATTCATTTCTTAAGAGGTGGACAAAACTTTCCCCTTTAATTTCTTATTTTGAATAGATTTCCATATGGATATAAATAGGCTACAAATGATTGGGATATACAACTAAAACGGCTAATCTATGATTAGACAATGATAAATTCAATGAATTTCTTTCCCTTTTCCTTTTCAATAATTTGAAATAGAGCTAAATATTGCCATCACTATATATATATATATATATATATATATGAATAATTTTCTTTTTGAGATTTATTGGTCCTAAGCAAGCAATCATCCATTTAATTATCAAGCTATTATACTTAATTTGCCTTATAAAACCAAAGTATATTATTAATCTTGTTTTTTCCGGTATTAATTGAACAGCAAGCTTAATGGAGCATGGTACTTGTACGTGTGGTAGAGATTGGATGTATTCATTAATTTTTGACATAATATCTAGAAAAGATTTTATACTGTTTAAAAAATTTAAATAAAATGTTTATTTTTTATTTAATTTAATTAAAATTTTATATTTTTATTTTTAAATAAATAAATTTTTATGATTAATTATTAATTAATTATCATTAATTAAAATATCACATATTATGATGACATAACTAATGTCATTTTTACTCTTCACGTTAATGTTTAATGTTGCGTCGATACCATGTGCACATAAAAAAGATAAGTAGTGTTTTAACTAACGACAATTAGTAAATCATTAATCAAAATTTTGTTTTAAAATTGATCATTGTTAACATATGTTATTCTAAAGAAGAGATCATACGCACATAAACACATCTATATATTATATATATTTTTTAAAATTACTCAGTTAATTGAAGAGTTAAATTAGTAATCTAACAAATCTAAATTGTCATAAAAGGCCATCTCATCTCTTTACTATTTTATACTACTGCTTTGCATAAGATATTGAATTAGAGGTTGATAATATCATGATGCAAATTGCATATTCTAATTAATATTTAAATTAGAAGACGTCTACCACAAGATAATTAACGAAATTATAATTACAATGAGAAAGGAAGTTAACGAAAGTGGCATGATGGTGGGATATTTTATTACGTATTTATTACTCAAAATATATTTAAAAATTTAAAAGTAAAAAATGATTATCTCATATTATATAATAGAAAATAGATTAATGGATTAGTAAAAATGAATATAGATAGAACGGATGTGTGGCAGCAGAGTGAAGGACATGTTTCCGATTGAAAGTTGAGATAGTTTTAAGAGGGGGAAAATATAAAAAAAAAAGAAAAAAAAGGAGAGAGAGAAGAGAAGAGTCCTTGAATAGAAGAAGCCCGCTCTTGTTTCACTTCAAAACCCTACCCATTTTGCCATCTATCTCTATCTCTCTCTCTCTCTCTGGTTTTTGTCATTTTCACTTCTTTTTTTAGTCTTTTGGAAAGAAGAAAAAGAAAACAAACTTCGAAAACACAAAAACCCCAGAAACGCCACTTCCTTTTCACCCTCGCTTCTTTTCTCTTTCTTCCCTTCACTCTCTCCTTGTCCGAGTGAAAAAAGGACCCAAACCCCATTGTTTCTCGAACCCAAAATAAACCTTAGAACAAGAAAAACTGAAAAGTCTCCATGGATCCTTATGATATAACCAACGTCTTGTTCTGCAAAATCAAGAGTTTAGACCCAGAAAATGCTTCAAAAATCATGGGTTACATCCTTATCCAAGACTTAGCAGACAGGGACTTGATGCGTTTAGCCTTTGGTCCTGAAACCCTTCTACAGTCCCTTGTTTTCAAGGCTAAAACTCACTTAGGACTTTCTTCGAACTCTTTCTCTACTCCTCCTTCTCTGAACCCAATCTCGAGACCCAACAGCTCCAACTCCAACAATTCCCCAAACCCACTTCCTCAATCATCTCCTAGGCTCATTCCTAGAAATGGCTTCTTGGAATTTTCCAAGAAGGTGCCTTCTTGGTCTTCCTCTAGTAGCCCAAACTCAAGTCCTTTCCTTTCTTATGAAAATATCCGCTCTGGGTCTGTCTTAGTTCCTCCAACGACTGGGGATAACAACACTGATTTGATTGATGAGAATCAAATGAGTGATTATTTTTCATTCCTGAATGATTCTTCCTCGTCCAGGAATGAGGACTTTGTTGGTCATAGAAGGAGTTTTTCAGCAAGTGATGCATGTTTTGGGACAGCTGAAGAAGCTGGTGGGTTTGGTGGTATTGTGGGTAGTTACAAGCCTTGCCTTTATTTTGCTAAAGGATTTTGCAAGAATGGTGATAATTGTAAGTTTTCACATGGTGTTGGTGGTTTAGCAGATAATGTTGATGTTAATGGAGTTGTTGTTGGTTCACCTAGCAAAATGGACCTTCTTTATCATCAACATGAGGAAATGATGAGAATGAGAGCAGCTCATCAGCAAAGATTGGCTGCTGCTCAGTTGATGGCTGGTGTTTCTTCTCCCTTGGCGTATGAAAAAAGCATGAATCTTCTCTTGCAACAGCAAACTGATGCCCAGAGGTATATTAGAGATTTCCTATTTTGTCTCGTGCTGCCTTACCATTTTTTTTTTGGCTGACATGTATAAGGCTCTTAATATTTGCTCTAATCGTGGGTTTATTTTGGTGGCTATGGGATCCATAAAGATTTCTGCATTAGTGCTTGTTTTGGTTTTACATAAAATTTACCCAAAAATAAATTAGATATTATCTATTTGACCTTTCTTCGTAGTTTTGCTGCTATGAATTAGTTTCTTTTAGTCAGTTTTTATTCATTTATTTTTTGTGGTTTACACGTTTCCTGTTGGAATAGTACAGACATCCAATTGGCCATTGTCTTTGTTTTTTGATGCTGTGATGCATAAAGTTCATTAATTTGATTTGAGCGTAGTATTGGGGTTTTGTATTTATGAACTGTGCTGGTCTTATTTTGGTGGGAGTATTGGTTAGCTAAAAAACCATAGCATGGCATAGGCGTAGCTTGCTTTTTGCCAAATTAAACAATTTTAATTTGGTACATTGTGGTGTGGTGCAGAGCTGCTGCACTGATGTTGGGTGAAGAAATTTGCAAGTTTGCTCAGAGCCGATCTGAGAGGAACGATTTTTTGACAATGGGAATGGCAGAAAAAGCTAACTCAGCTTCAAAACAGATTTACCTGACTTTTCCAGCTGAGAGTACATTTAAAGATGAAGATGTTTCAAACTACTTCAGGTATCTATTGCACTTCTAAACGTTCAGGCATTTTTTTCTCTGATCATATATGTGGTTCTTGATTTATGTTAAGTCAATGCATGTTGTTGAGTGGGGAGCTGCATTTTGAATTATTAGTGTACCATAGAATTAGTTTGGATGTTGCAATTATAATTATAACCATGGCTATGGGGCTGCTTTCCATGGCATGCAGTTTGGCATCCTTACTATAATGGTTACCTGGTGCCTTACAGGAGCTGTGATCTATATGTTGTACTAGAATCTGCAATTACGGTAGTTTTCAGCATGCATCTCAAGGATTATATCAATTTAAAATGTTAAGGGGGTAAAGAGTTCTGCTTTTAATTGTTGGTTTGTGGTGGGGACAAGTAATTTTACATGCTAAAAGAAGATTGACCTGGAAAAGTTAACTTTTAATGCTTGCCTTGTGGTTTTCCTTTTTTTCCCTTCATGTGCAACAGCAGTTGAACTGTATTAACTTAGTCTTATACTGATAACATACCTAGTGGCTGAAAATCCTTGGTTGATTTAATCTAGCCTTGAAGCCTACTGCCTTGTCTAGCTGTTGCATTAACTTTGATAGAGTCATTTGTATCTTCGTAGGACATAGTGGGTGACTTGGCATGGTATCCTTTTCAATTAACTATAGTAGCTAACTACTTTTTTCTGAATACCCGACCGTCTATTTGCGATACACCATTCTTAATTGCTAACTACTGTTCATCTCCAGGTGAATGTTTATCCCATTATTAGATGTATGATATTGGAAGATATGTTAAGAGTAACTATCTTAAACACAATTTAAATGCTGTTGAACTCTGCAGGTAAGGAGGGGATAGTCAATTAATATGATCCATCTAGAAGCAAATTATTCCAAAAGGGACATGTTAAATTATCAATAGTGCTTGTTAAAGTATAAGGACTATACAAAGTATTGGAGGCATATTTCAATGGACTTCACATTTTTTCTTTGATGCATGTTCTTATTTTAATATTTACTGTTGGATAAAAAATCTTCAAAAGGAGACCACCTGAAACTTGGCAAAACTCAGTTGTCAATATATGCAATACTTCATTGTGTCTATTTTAATTTTGTTCTAGTGGATAAATGGGACGTTGAAGAACAATTTTGGGTTCAACAAGGAAATATGAGCTGCAAGATTTAGAAATATGGAGAGGCAGTCATCTTACTCCTAAGAGGGATCAATGGTTGAGCAAAGTCAAGTTTACATCACATATGAAGGAGCAGTGTGCTAAGGTTACCTGTAATCAGCATAGTAGGAAAAGATTTTATAATAAATTCTGTTTTTCTTATGAAAAAGGAAAGGTTTGGGGCTGCTGGGGTTTTCTGTGAACTTGGTCAAACCTACTTTGCTCACTTCAAAACCCTGCAGCTAAGCTGTATGATAAGCATGGTGGTGGTGAATGGACAAAATTGACAATTCTGTGGGTCGGAGATGGATATTGCTGGATAAACGCATTTGTAGGAGAAGCAGAATTGACAATTTATTTGACTGAGTCCAAATACTGTAACTTTACTATGAAAGTTGTATTGCTATACCATAGACATAGGGTTTTGACATTTTAGGGGATTGAGAATATTTCATTTATTGCGGCAAAGTAGGATTTTGAGCAAAGGAACCCTGCCTATATATCCACTTGTACTTAGCTGAGGCTTGCATAGAAATTTTTTTCATGGTCAATTGCTTGATTCTTTTGTTGCAAAATTCTGACAAGGACCTACCAAAGTGGTTTTACTTGGAACAAAAGTTTATAAATTTTGTAAGTTTTAAGTTTGTGTATTTAATTTAGTTTTCCTGTATCTTTTAAAGCATGTTTGGACCAGTGCAAGATGTGAGGATCCCGTACCAGCAAAAGCGAATGTTTGGTTTTGTTACTTTTGTCCATCCAGAGACTGTGAAACTTATTTTGACCAGAGGAAACCCCCACTTCATTTGTGATTCACGCGTGCTTGTTAAGCCCTACAAGGAAAAAGGAAAAGTTCCTGACAAGTATGGCATCTTCTCTTGTTTGCATTTTTATCTTGCATCTTGCCCTCATCCTGCGTTAAATATATAACTGCTAATGGAACTATTGCAGGAGGCAACACCTTCAACAGCAATTTGAGAGGGGGAACTTTTCTCCATGTTCAAGCCCTTCAGGGCTTGACTCTAGAGAGCTGTATGACCATCATGTTGGTAAGCAAACAAATGGGCATGGCTTTTAGTGGGGTTGTCTTTTCATGTGGTTTTTTGGGTGAAATGATAGGAGGGAACGGAATGTTTAAAATGACCTTTTCTTTTGTTTTATTTATTCTTATTTTAGAACTGAGGTTCTTAATTTCTCTTTATATACAGGGGCAAATATGGTCTACGATGCACGGGAGATGTTGAGAAGAAAATTGGAAGAGCAAGTTGATGTCCAGCAAGCTATTGAGCTGCAAAGGAGAAGGTTCATAAATTTGCAACTTCCAGATTTCAAGAATGATGGTATTCATCATCATCAACGCAGCCTTTCTGTTGGTGCTTCGGTTTCCTTGCCTGCTTATTCCCATGCCAGTCAAAATGTTCATCCATCTGACAGCATTAAACAGGAAGTCTTAGAAGGTTTGCTAATCAGACTCAGTTGTTCTATCTCATCTATTATCTTTTAGCTGGATTGTGTATCTGACTTTGGTATTGTGTGTCTGTGAATGTGTGGATGACTTTCCTGTTCTCTTGTTCAAAAAACGGAAATATAATCCAAATAAGTTGTCCAATCTGTTTGAGCTTAACAAATCCAGGATTGGAAAAAAGCTTTGCTGTGGTTGATTTTCTATTATTTCTTGTGGCAGTAAATGGTGATAATACAGCTGCTGCTGTTCCCTCGACGATGACTGCTGCTGATCAGGAAGAAGTGAATTCTGCATGTGTTCAGAAAGGCGGAGTTGGAAGTACCAAAGATTGTTCTAACCCTGAAGGGTATGATGCCTCTGAACAACATGGAACTTAATTTTTGAAATTTAGATAAAACTTCCCGACAAGTGTAGATGCTGTATTTCTTATATTTATTCAAATCTTATTATCTACCGCCATCTCTGGGCTTTTCTAAAGTCAGTTGTCTTCTAGTTGTCTTCCTCATTTGTTTTATTTCCGTTTCCTTTATAGATGTCATGACAACAGTGTAGAGCATACACTTCCTGATAGCCCTTTTACTTCCCCTACAAAATCTGCTGGGAATCACCTCTCTAATTTTACTGCTTTGGTGGAAGTAAATGGAAGTCCCACTTTATGTGCCACTTCATCTTCTGAAAATGACCTATCGTTGCCCATCATTTCTACTAGCGACATGGCCTCCATTTAGTTATCCACTTCTTAATGCCAAGGTACTATCACTACTTTAACATCGTTATAACTTGATCTCTCCTGCTATGATTACCAGAGCGGAAGGCATGTTATTGTAATTGAGATATATTTACATTTTCTCAGGTTTTATCGAGGGCATGAAGGTAATGATCTGTAGGAAATAAAGGTAAGCACAGTCACTCGGTCAGAACTCAGAAAGGACTAACCATAATTTATGAGCTTATATTTTTTGAATTCCAAGTCCAATGTCATCCCTATAATGTTTTGACATGATAGTTACTGATGCAGAAAAGTAGAGAAGCATATACAAGGAGAATCCACTAGATGTGTATAGCCAGATTATACAGAGAAGAGTAGATCCGTAGAGAATATTGCAAGAAGATCATCATCATCTTCATCAATACATTACTACTAACAGCAAATGCATATTGGATACCTAAAGGATAGATGAACTGATTTTTGAGTATAGGGCTTTTCTCTTTTCTCCTCTACTAGTTGTGTATTCCAACAGACAAAAGCAGAAGAAAGTAGGGATAGTAATTTATTGCATTGTCATCTATGCATTTTCTTTTAACCGTATGTGATAAAAGCATTATGTAAAGCTGAACTGTATGAAGAGACTTTGAAGTCAGAAATGTGTACATTAAACACAGCATTTGTTGGGAAGTTGAACCTTGAGAAGGATGTTGCGTTGAAGGCTGAATAATTGAGAGGAGGGGCAAGATTGGGGGAAAAGAAATCAGAAGATGGGTTTTGGTAATATTGGTGTATTATTTTATGTTAAACTTTGATAATTATGTTGTTGCTATTAAAGTGAAGAATGTTGGGTATAGGAAAGTTGGTAAGAAAAAAAAAAGCATCTTCCTTTTTGCAATCAGTATCTACCACAGGGGCACTTTGTCTTATATGTTTAGGTCCACATGCAAGGTTAGGGTCACTCTATCACATGGGTGCTGACATTATATATATCGAATCAGGGTGTCACGCTCCTTTCCTTTTCATGTTACAGGTCATCGGACTGAAATGTTTTAGTTTTTTATTATTATTTTTATATCTGGAGAGTTTTAAATTTTTGATGATGATGATGATGGTGGTGGTTCTACTTCAGCTCAGTTGGACCTTGTACTGCAAGTGCTTTTAAGTCACCTTTGCCAGATATTCTCAAGTTAAAAGAAAAGTAACGAAAAATCTTAAAAAGAGTACCAAAAGAAGTGTACTGTTGGGTTAATTCATGCCTGCCAACGCGAATGCGTGCTTATTTCATGGAAAAGTTCTTAAATCCATAAAAAAAGAGAGAAGGTATTAGTAAACTTAGTACTTTATGGTTTTATAAAAATTGAAAATATAAAACCGAATGTGGAAGAAAATCACGTGTGAGTGGTAGCCTTAGTTGTTAGTAATTGTGTCGCACTTAGCGCTTCAAGAAGGAAGTGTGCAAGATGTTTTCAAAAATCTCACATTGAGTAAGTAGGGAAGTTTTGGGTGGTTTATAAGTGGTGGCGTTGTATACCCTATTCATCATCAAGTTAGTTTTTTGAAAAGAGAAATGACTTTGTGATTAGTGGTATTAGAATAAACTCGATTATGACTCTATTCCACGTTAAGCACCTCTGAGAGAGGCACGTAGGGTGGGCAATGATGATGAGGACATTGTTAGTGCCATCAAAAAAGTATAGAGTAATCTTTAATGACTTATAAGTGTTGACGTTATATATTACGTTTAATTAAACTTTTTTAAAAAAAAAAAACCGGTGATAATTAAATTTGGTTGTGAAGTATTTGTTTCCAAAATTAGCATAAGTCATTGGACCACCATTGTTCGAGTGGTAAGCTGACCCTTGCCATCAACATCTCATGTTTCACATAACACCATTCACTCCACTCTGGCTATGATGTTGCCATCTCTGATTACTTACGTAGTTTTAATGTATATAATAACTATTGCACTTTCTTTAATACTTAATAAAAGGCTTCCTTTTCTTGTTTTGGTTTTGCAAGAAAATTTTGTGGACTAGGTACTGTTTGTTTCCCAATTATTGATTTCATTCATAGGAAGAATCTTGTGCCAGGAACAAAATCAAAGGGGCATATATTCATGGACAAGTTTTGAGCAATTCCCTCTAGCCTAGTATGGGATTTTGTAAAAGCCTTAGTCACACTTTTACTTTGTCCCCTAGGAACCTAGTTACTTTCTTTGGCCAACTTGTACCCTTTCATCACTACGCATTATGGCAGCGCACTTTTGGACAACATCAGTATTGTTTGGAAAGTCCATGAATGAGTGTCAGAACCCTTTGGATATATGGTGATGAGACAGAAAAAGATGTTAAGGAAACAAGGGAATGTTAGTGCTTTGAATCTATTCTCTTATTATACATCTCCATCCTGCTACCTACATAGCTGCAAGGACAATACATCGTTTAAATTGGTGATCTTTTCTACCTTATTTGCCAGTTTTTTTTGTCTCGATTTCCGTCATATTGTACATTTACATATAGGTGTGAAATAATTAGAAGAGAATTTACAGAAACAATTCACTATTTGAAGGCTGGCAATTGATGAGCCGTTAGACACCTAGTGCGTTCCAAATATTGATGCAATAATTCTTTATTTTTTGGACGCATGCAATGATTCATAAAACAAAATCACATATATTATATATATATAATTATAATTATGATATTTACAAAGATATATTGATGTTCCAGATAAAATATCTCGGATATATATATTGTAATTCATAATTATGGCTGGCGCACCTCGTACTAGGATCATTCTTTCTATGCATTATTTTGATTTGTATTTACTTGTAAAAATATTGATTGGAAAGGGCAGTAGGCCACCTTAATTAGTTGTTATCTCTGCCTTTCCAAGTGATTGTTCAGATGCAAAGCTAATAATTATTTGGGGAAGTCATAGATGCTTAAAGAGTCAAGTCCAAATTTCTCTTTTCCAAATAATAATAAGAAAAAAAGAAATCATCCCTATACCTTTTGATGAGTCGTTTGGTGGAGCCAATGTGCATGTACATGGAATCTTTCCTTTCTCAATGTTTAGCAGCTGCTTTAGGTGGTAATGAGTCTGCTAAACTTGAAATTAAGTGGCAAACTCAATCATCCGAAGGTAACAGATGAGACGATACATCAAAAGAGAGTTTATCAAGATTTCGAGTTTCCATTCTCCTCAGTCAAATCATCACCCACAACCCCATTTATGATAATACTTTCTCAAGGTTTAGCAGGTCAATTGACCTTGCTGAAATCTACCAAGGTTCACCACCCTTTGATAGATTTATTTGTAAAATTTTAAAACTTCACAATTCATACCGCTGAAGCACAATACATTCATTTATTAAATTCTGCAATGAAAATGGTAAATCATGGTTCATGTATTGTCCAATACTTGAACATCAGAAAACAAAAGAATGAAAAGGGTAGAGTCGAAGTTGGACATGATGAGTGGGAAGAATTGAAGCTTAGCCCAAAGCCATCCAACATGTACCAACCAACCGAGCAATCAATCAATCAATCAATCAATCAATCAATCAATCAATCATCGCAAAGACTAATGTGAAAATTTTAATCATGACTTGGGGATATGGGAAACTTGGCGTCCAATCCATTTTAGGCTGATGGTCCCTTTTCCATTTTCCATCTCTTCAAAGATAATTTCATCGTACGCCCCAATAACTCCCGAAAACATCCCATATGTGGGCAACAAGCCAATGCATAAAATGTAAAAGCCCACTGAGTGTTCCATGAACCATGATTGCCATGTAATGAGCCCAAAAAGTGTTCCCCAGTTGAAAAAAGACACACATAAAGTTGCTCCTTGTTTGCATGAGATCAGCTTGCCTGGAAACATGCATGTTCATGTCTGTTGTAAAGCAACACCCTAATATTCTGATTCTTTGCATAGTACTAGAGAGAGGGGGCTGTGAGGACCAGATAGACTTTCACGTCAAGGGCTCAGCAAATCTCTGTAGCAGAATCCACGGCTTCGATATTGTTTCCATCAATGGAAGATGCTCTTATCATAGCTTTTGTTTTGATTTGCAAAACTCTGCTTTGGGCATGCGTCACCTTCCAAGTTTCAGCTTATATAAAGTTGTACAAGTTCTTCCATTGTTACACAACTGCATTTCACTGTGAAGGGACCATCAACAAAGGAAAAAACGCTGCATTTCCTGGGATATATGTAAGACAATTGGATTGACACAGTAAAGGTTAGTTTATTTTGCATTGTTTACTCAACTCTTGCAGTTTTTTAGAGGACAATTAGGTGCTAATTATGATTTATGTTGCATGTATTAACTACTTAATCTTACTTTTGTGTTTTGTGTTAAGCAATAATGTCTTTAACAACTCTGATCATACTCTCAAGTTAAACGTATCTGCAAACTAGGCTTTGTTTCCAAATGGAGTCCACCAAGGTGACCATGTTAGTGATGTGTCCAATTTTGGCCCCCAAGGTTGACACGTTGGCGACATGCGTCAGCGTTATTAGTACTGATCGAGCTCTTAAAACTATGTGATTTTGCAAATGGTTTCTTAATTCTTAGTTTCCTTAATTTATTTTTTTTTAATTTCAGTCCTCCCTATCCATTTTGAGGTAATTCTAATGCTTCCCTCTCTCAATGTGGTGGTGTGCATTTGTTTATGTAGTTGTTCATTCATTCATTACTTGGTTTTGCATTAACCTGATTGGTGGGTTGAAGTGGTTGTATCAGTTTTGGATTTGAACCAGACTGCAGCTTTAACAAACAGTTAAGGCCATATCCAGAAATCACTAGATTTAGTGGATTCACTGTTTTTCCAAGACTAAAAAGATTACCATCCTACACTGCATCTCTAGCAACGAAGATTTTCTCAAAGTGCATGATTTTGAATGAGGAGAAACTGTACTTGTTTGTGCTGGTGTTTATTCAACCAAACTTTTTTCACTATAAATATTTCCTGATTGTACTCATTGCCATGACTGAATAATCAGATCTCTGCATGCAGGACTTAGCACAGGTTGAGTACTCCATTAATTTATGATTTCGGTTTACTCTGTCTGCTTGTTCAAAGCTGTTCTTATTAATGTGCATGAATGGATTTCTTTTAACAGGTTTGCTTGCATCACCACATAGTTTTTGTACAAGTAGAGTAGAACTTTCATTGTAACCTGTAATTCCTCTTAGTTCTCACATTGCTCCATTCAAATTGGAGCTTCGATTCTTTTACAGAGTAAATTGCCGGAGATGTTATCCAAATGTTGCAGATTTTAATTTCATAACACTGATAGTGAAAACTAACAAATTCAAAGTAGATATCAAATCTGAAAAAAGGAACAAGAGGAAGATTCTACAAAGGGAGTAGTACAATCCTCATTTGTGATGGAAAAAGACAGAAATTCTCATAAGAGATTAGAAAAAACTACAATGGGAAATTCTAAGAATTTGATTAGTTAGGTTCCCCATCCTTGAGATTTCTTCTTTGATCCTCATTATTCTCTTCTTTGGAGGAGTTGAACTAGATAAATGAGTCCTGGAGAAAAGATGTGATAAGAAGGCATTAGCCAGGGATTAAGAAGCATTTACATATGAAGCGTAAAGGTGAGAGGCAATATAGGAAACACCCTGACAATAATATTTCTGCAGGAATCTGTAAACATCATGGAAGGTAGCAGTGGCAGCTCCTACAACCCTCCAGGTAGCAAATTCTTACAACTTCTTATCAGTTTTTTTTCCTCTACAGACAGATTTGACCAATATAACCA